TTTTTGTGTGTGTACGTGCGGAGGGAGGGGGGGGGGGTTCAGCATATGTAATTAATGGATTGAAATTGACAACCAAAACTAAACAAAAAACTTTAGATGGTAAGTTCAATGTAGAACATTTCAAGCAATAGAAAAGTATAGCATTAACAAGCATAGATTCAAAGAAATATGTAACAGGTACAAAATTACAGACAAAATTATCATGTGCAAATACCTAAGCAGGCAATCAGATATCTCTCAAAGCAGTACAATGCAAAAGCTTCATAGCAATCGCGTATTACTTCACAGTTAAATGCAGCTTTTGAATCCAACAGCGACAAGAACTGTATTAAGAAACATAAGACAACAACCCAACAATCAGTGGACGGAATTCCATAAAGACTCAACAGCGACCATGCAAAAATGGAAAAAATAGCTGAAACTACCAAAGAAGAGTATATCATTTATATATGTAGAGAAGTCCTATAAGCAGCAAATGAATGTTTGAAAGTATTTATAAAAATAAAAAAAATAAAAATAAAAAATAAAAATAAAAAAACCTAACAAATCCTAAAGAGTTCAAACAAACAGATAAGATGAAAAATATAATTACATGTTTATAGTTATAACTTGGCAAAAAATCAGAAATCTAATAAATCTCTATAATCGATAGTATCCATGGTTGAGCATCATTTTGTATCCCCAAGTAAGAGATGAAATGAACGAACCTTCTCACACTCAAGATTATTCTTCAAAAAAACTAAAAAAGCACCTAGGCTGGAACATATTAAAGATGAATATAATCAGAAGTTAACCCTCTTATAACCATAATTATTGTTTGTGTATAAAAATTAGCATAATTGGAGGGATTCATTATTCATCCCATTAAACCAAAATCCTTCCAACGTTGGAAAGTTTTGGAAGGAAATTGCAAGCTCGGTTCTTCTCTCCCCTCACCTCCCTTTATTTTCTCTCTCCTCTCCCGTTTCTTTCACAATAACTATCTCCTTTCCTTCCGCAATAACTATCCAAATATAGAATCCATTTTCATCATAAGGTTCGGAATTTGGATAGCAAGGTAGATAGGAAAGGAAGGGGACAGAAAGAGGAGGAAGGGGAGCGGAAAGAAAAGGAGGGAGAAGGCAGATCTCCAATTTCCTTCCAAATCTCTCCAATTTTGGAGGGATGGTGTTTATTAAAGAGGGAGGGAAAATGGATCCCTCCCCTTACTTCACCCAACCTTATCCAAACAAGGGACCTTGTTCCCCCTCCTTTACTTTCCCTCCCTTTCTCTCCAATTTCTTTTATCAGAAAAATGCATAATCCATTTCAATGTTGTCCACTAGGCAGTACTAGCTAGAAGTCAACAAATAAAAATCTTAAAGAAGTTGAACATATATATTTTATATTTCACAGCAGTAAATGATAACTAAATATGTGGAGTCAAAACCAGATCAAAATTATCTTACCGATTCTAAAGCATACACAGGAACCATTAGTATGAGCCCTATTAAGAATTTCTGCTCCTGAAGTTTAATCCAATGTGAAAAGGAGAAAAGGTCAGTTCCAAAAGCTAGAAGGATGGAAATATTAAACACGCTATTTAGGTTTTATACAATTTCTATCTCCCATATTATAATGTACTTGTATGATACAACTAAATACTTGTTGGAGTTTTGAGGGGCACAGCTGAAGCATAATTAATTATAAGCAGTGTATTTGCAGGGAAAATGAGAGTTCCACTGAGGAACTGCACAAGGAGTAGTATTACCTGAATAAACAAAGAAAAATGAGGAGACAGCCTTATAGCTGTTACAGAGCTCCAAAAGGCAAGAACACAGAGCTGTATCTGGTAATTTTTCTTACAAAACTTTATTGAATATAATTTCTTAGGTTGCACAAGCAAACTATGCATATAGTACAGTTATTTATAATAGAATTTGGAAATTTAGATGTACGTATTTCTCATGATACTGCAATCAGGTAGTTTTTCTAATGGAATTTTATTTAATAAATTTCTTAGTTTGCAAGGGCAGAAAAATACAAGTAACCGTAATTGGACAAGAACAAACCTCTGGGTGATTGTACGCAGCTAAGTGCTCAAATATGAGATACATAGACAGAACCAGAGCTGTAAGCACGAATATGCTTGAGCTAGTGATACTCCAGCTGTAGAGAGAAGATGTGCCAGTGGCAATTTCGAGAAACCATGCTTTACCAGAACTGCCGACAGACTCCCTTGCATTTAAAAGAAAGAAGAAAACGTAAACAACCCACATCCATCCCATAGCAAGGTACTAGGATGAGTACCACTTCTGGTTTAGATGAAGTTAACTTCAAGCTTCATATGATCAACTGCACTTCTTGCTATCGGCCATGAATGTATATATATCTATGAAACCCCGGCAACCACACTTTTCAACTTAATAATATGCCTTCTGGAGTGGAGAATATGACAGCTGAGGAGAAAGGATGAAAATTCTAGCTTAGGCCAACTGACCCCAGAAAAGTGTTCAATAGTTGCTAAATAAAAGGGAAACAATACACAAAGGCCTGCATAAAACCTGCCATCAGAATGCAAAAAATAAGACCACCAGTTGTACAAAAGCTACGTATCTACTGCATGGAGCATGAATGACAAGAAACTACTTAATTTGTAGCAATCGCCACCACGTAGGGATAAGCAAATAAGATACAGGAATCAATTTACAAAATCCGGCATAATAAATTAATAATGAAAGCCAACCTTAAAGTCGTTATCTAGCTCAATTAAAGTAAATACAAAACGGATAATGAGTTATGAAATATAAATCCCAAATAGTGAAATCAACAAATAAAAGCTCGTACACCCAAGGGCGAGGGCAACCCAAGCACAAGTAGGTATCAATCACGCATAAACCTGATATCAACAACCCATTCACGCAGAAACGATCGATGCAAGAAATTCTTAAACGCACCCATAAACCTTACAAAAACAAAAAGCAGCCTCAACAACACTTAAAATCCATCAAGAGCCACACATCACTTCAGAGAACTAGTGTCATTCCAAAGCTTTTCCCAACCCAAAATCATATTCTCCAATTTCACTTCAATGTTTCTATACACTACTCTTCAAGTCCGGATTCGAAAACAACCAATGCCACACCGCCAATAGTTTCATCTATTTGTCCTGATTATCCTATACAATGGGTGAATGATGCATGCACTAGTGCCGCGATTGAGTCGTTCTAATCTATCAATTGGACTATCATTGACCCAAATTTGTTTCCCAAATAGAAATATTAACTTCAAAGTCAGAATACCCACTTTACTTAATTGATTGCTTTAAGCTTCAATGAGACAAAAACAGCAATAAAAACCTAGCATTGACTATTTGGATTACAGCCATTTCTTCTTCCTACACCTTAAACTACCAACAAAGACAAACACCCAGAACCCACAAATGCCAAATTCAACCAAAATAAGAAACACCCACCTCACTTTTAACACCCATTAAAGAAAAAAAAAAAACAAAACAAAAACAACAAATTAATCATTCCATAAACACAACAGAAATAAATAAACAACTTCTATATAAATAATAAAAAATATATAAATAAATATACCCCTTAATTATAGGATAAGAAAAACTAACAGCGAATGTTTCTAATTCATGATCAAAGAAAAAAAGAGTTGTTACAAAAGTTTAGGAATAAGAAAAAGATTAAAAATTAGACCTGGAAATCGGAGCTTCTGGGGAAAGAAATGGTAAGTGGAGAAGGGTTCGATCCAAAATGGGGAGAAGAGAAAAGAAAAGGAGTTTTTGTGGGGGAAAAAGACTCAAAAAGAGAAAGATTTGGAATAGTAGGAGAGAGAAACGTGTAGAATTGATGTGTTTGCTTCAGCAGTTGGGCATCACTATTTTGGGATTTTTGCTACTTTTTGTATGTATCTTTGAGTTATGGAGTACTAGTATCAAATTATTTTAGTCCTTGTTAACTGTTTACAAGTCTACAAAAACGACATGCCAACATTTTTCTATGTCAAATATAGGATATTTCCGTTTTTGTATACTTTCCTGTGGATGGAGTTATAAACTTATAATGATGATGATAACTGATTTTGTAGTATGGTCTCTAGATTTATGATGCATATCTTAAATTCTTAATCTACCTCCTCTATGTGACTAAAATTTGGAAAGGGTCGGGCTGGATTTAAACCTAAAAGTTCATGCCTAACTGCCTAAGCACGAAATATTGTCGTGTTAGTCGGTTCAAGACGGACTTTTCAAGTTAGTCTTGGATTTTGAACTATTCTAGCAATAGCAATCGAAAAGTTAAGAAAATGGAAATACATTCCAAAAGTTCCAGCTAGCAATCGTCCCATTTGAGGCATCATTGCTAGTTGTCGGTGTCCAAGATGTCGTCTTCATGGGCTATTTTCGTAGTCGCAAAAATCAGGTTATTACGTAGGATTTACTTATTATATATATAAGCATCAGGATTCCCTAATCAAGGTGAGTTGCATTCATCCCAATACTCGTACATGGTATCACAATTAGTGCAACATTCAAGAAATGGCACGCCATTTGAAAGTCTCTACGAGACTTGAACATACAACTTGTAATTCTAAAATTGAGTGTCTTACCACCAAGCTATGTGATATATCGTGTTGTCTTTTGAATACAAAATATTAATGTGGATCGAATGACAATATGAAAACAAATTTAATCTTTTGAATACAAGATATTAATGTGGATAGAATGACAATATGAATAACAAATTTAATTTCCAGAAAATTGAATCATAAATTAAAACGTATATATATAATCAACCCCATATAATGCCTCGAGGCATCGCCCGGGTCCAAATTTTAATTGATACTATACAAAGAGGTTTATTTTAATTTTAAATCATTATAAAGCTCAGCCCGCCCCATTAAGAATCCATAATTAGATGCTCGTATAAAGACTTGACCCATTTGTTTATTGGACGGATTCGACCCAATTATAAGTTTATAACTGGGACAGGTTAGGGCTTATTATTAATGGGGCTACAAGCCTACAACCCATTGAATTGATCTGTCTCTCTCTCAGTTTCTCTGAGTTCTCCATTGAAACGCACTGAACATCGCACTTGACGTAATCCATTACAAACTATTTGTTCTCAGCAGCTTCTGAAGTAAGTTCTCCTTACTTTTCTCTCATCGATTTTCTTCTACCTTTCATGGTGTAAATCATCACATCAATCCTATTTTCGTATTTGCAGAATTAATTTGTACCTCTGTTTCAATTCCTTTCGATATCTAATGGATGGTATTTCCCTTCACTCTTATTTTTATCATTTTCTTCGATTTTTGAATGCACTTTTCATTCTTAACTTTCTGATTATACATAATTTGTTAATTTAAATGGGTTTCTGGGTTGTGTTTGCCTAATTTCTTACATTAGATAGAAAATCATTTTAAGCTACCTTATTTTGTATGATGGATTTTTTTTTTTTTTTCTCAATTTAAACTTTGATTATGGAATTAACAATTTTGAATGAATGAGGAGATACAAGGTTATTTTTGGACAATATTGTGATTAATGTTGTAATTGCCCTTATACGGTAGTTTAGATATTAATGTTGTAAGTTCGAACAAGTAAAAGTCAGATGAATATAACACCCCGTTATCCTCTCAGCTTACGAATCTGGAGTTGTTGGGAATTTTATATTCAATTTTTTCTGTGACATTACATTTTATGTTCTGGGGGATTTTTCAGAGTTATTTTTTAAGTTATTTGAAATTTAAATGCAACATTAAGCATGGACCTTTTAGCTTAACATATGGCAATTATAGATTGGATTAAGGAGTTTCGCGGTAGGAGATCTGGAATGAAGGTGCTGCAAGAGCAAATCGACAACTATATAACTGCACATGAGAAGCGCGAGGAGCAGGTGATTTTCCTTCTTTCCCTCGACATTACAATACATGTACTTATGCTTCCCCTCTAAACAATAGAGTGATGGACTATAATATAATAAATGTGGTTCAGGCATTTATACTTTCAACCTGTTTGTCATCCTTTCGATGCCCATCTCTCTGCCTTTATTAGACATAATTGATTCTCAATATAGATTCATACATTTGTTCCTGAAGCACATACAAACAAGAAGTACAAGGTTACTGTATTTTGCAACGTGCATGCTCTTGCAGACTTGCTTAACTGTAATCAGTGCAAGTCTAAGACTAAGGGCAGATGGTTACAACTTACAATTTTGTAAATTCCTTGTTATTGTTCTGGACAGTGGACACATTGCTGTTGGCAGTTGAAATCCAATTCTTTTGATGTGGAACAGCTGCCTTATCATTCCAGATATTCCCTGTACGTGGTGTATTAAGGAATTAGTAACAAATTCAAGTCTACTTAAATGGTTTCGCCCTTGTTAATCAGTAGGTGTTCATGTCTGAATTCTATTTTCCAGTTTGGTGTGTGGCCACCTCAAGTCCTTAACTACTTCCTTGATGTGTATATAATTGTCTTGGTTTTGTATTACAGGCAAAAAGAGAAAGAGAAGCCAAGCTTGCCGAGGAAGGATGGACTGTTGTTGTACATCGCAAGGGTGGGAAAAGGACAACTGATCATGATAGTGGTGTTGCTGTTGGATCTGTAGCTGAGGCTGCTGTGCGCGACAAATTGGCCAAGAAAAAGAGTAAGGATGTTGGGCTAGATTTCTACCGATTCCAGAGGATAGAAGCACACAGGAGTGGTATGGCTACATTACATTTATGCTCTCAGATTTACTTTTTACTTGCAAAGTGAGATGGCATTGAAATCCTCTTTATTTTAGGTGTCCACTTTTGTGGATTATGTTGATGTCTCGTATGGTTACTATTTATAATTCAATGCTGATTTTGGTTCTTCATGTATCCTGAGCCTTGGCATTCTTGATAGACAAATGAGGTGTTGCATTGTCAACAATGCATTTCCAAGTTTCATTTTGTTATTAGAAATCTCATGGCTTCTCCTTTGCTCATACTCTGATACTCGCCTAGGGATGTGTTATGACTTTCAAGCTCCATCCTGAGCGTAACTTTTGAAACATAGTAGACTCACTCGTTTCAAATTTATTTGCTCACCCCATACTTGCCACAACCTTTTTCTAATAGTGCTGTTACATCCTCCTTCCAATCACGGAGCAATTGCGACTATTGCATGCCCATTTCACTTAATTCTGGAATAATAATCAAGTAATGCTTTGTTGACTTAATTATCACTTGATGCTCAACTGATTTGGAAAAATATTTTCTTAGTCTATAAGTTGTGTATCACAATTGTTGACATGTTAGTCTTAGCTCCAAATGATGATCTCGTGTTGGATCAAATATACAGATGCAGATTAATTTCACCTCAGCTCATTTCTCTATGCTCAAGTCCTATCTGTTTGCAGATATTATGAAGCTACAAAGTAAATTCGAGGAGGACAAGAAACGGATACAACAGATACGAGCTGCAAGGAAGTTTAGACCTTACTGACTGTTTCCTTACAATCACAAAGCAACAGAAGTATTTACAAGAAGGTTAGAGAACTAGTTCAATGAGTCGGAAGCGACAAAGAACTTTTGATATCATCCATGGATACAGACTTTATATTCCCTTAGTGCTATGTCTATGCAGAAACCTGATCTTTCCCTATTGTAACAAGTTGAAATATCATAGCCTCATAGGTTTGATTTTTTTATTTTTTTATTTTTGTTTTTTTTAATACGTTGTAGTATTTTGTGATATACGAACTAACAATATAAAAGTTAATTTTATACCCAATCATACAATTTATTCGTCTCTTAATAATTATATCCAATCATACACATTTTTTCGTTTCATAAAAATTGCACTATTTAATTTGGGCTTTTATATATGATTTCCAATATACCTGGTAAAAAGTAAATATCGTCAATTTCATACAAATATAATAACATTTCACAAGAGTAATAAGAATTATTTCTTATGGATTGGTGAGAAATTGTAATCAATATATTAAAAATTTGATTCAAAGTAAATAGGACAATCCCTAAGGGTCAACGTGAGTAACCCAATTTAACATGCATAACTAAATATGATGAATTGGTGATCAATCATCTATCTCTGTTCAATTTAGGTCATATTTACATATATAAAGAGCTTAATGGGTATTTTATTTATTGTTTAGGTCGGATAACATATAAATTTGTTGTCAATTGATCTATAATGATCAATTTCAATTCAAATCATTTGAATAGGCAATATTTTATTGTCAATCAATAGATTATGTTCAATTAAAATGTCAATATTTCATATGAAGTTAATTCAAATCATTTGAATAGGATACCTAAATTAAATAATTTGATTTCCCTACGATTTTATCGTAGAGTTAAAATTACATGTAAAAACAATATATATAGTCAGGTCGGATTTGCCAGGTCTATGTATACTCAGTAGCTATTAGCCAATCCGCATGAAGAATTTACTTCCATCTTCCTTGTATTTCGTAAGCACTGAGCGCATCTGATTTGAGGCTTTGAGCTACTGACGCCATTGATGAGCTCTCTCTCTCTCTCCAACTCCAGCACTATTAATATAAAGACTTTATTAACTCAATTCATTATTCCATAATTTATAACTTCAACCTCCTCATACTTCACTCAACCAACAAATAATCAGGTTTGTATTTCTTTTTCATTACTACGTATTATCACTGTTTTTGTCTTGCAATACCTAAAGTTTTTATGATAATGTGTTTGAATTATTCATTTCATTTTAAATACTTATGATTTAGTATATAATTTTTCAGTTTTCCATTATTCCCAGATACGTGGTATTCTTGGTTACTAACTTAATATTTGACAAAATTAAGATAATTAAAGAGTATTAATGTAGTGATAAATCAAGTAAGGGATTGCTCAATTGGTTTAAGCTTCTCTACCAGCTTCAGGGATCCTGTGATCGATTCTCATCACAAGATTATCTAAAATAAAATAGACGCTATATTATGGGATGGAGAGAGTATATAATACTTGTATACTGACTATACTCCTAGAAAATTTGAATTCTCTGTAAATTTCATTTCAGGTAGATAGTCTTGTGATTATGTACATGTTGGAGTTTTTACATAACGTATTAGTGCCATTTTAAAAGGGTCCTTTTCTTTTCTGAGAACGAATCAGCCGAGTATGGCTTCTGAGACTGCACATGTGAATTACCTAGGATGGGCAGCTAGAGATTCATCAGGGGTTCTATCACCTTATGAATTTAAACGCAGGTATGATGAACGGTATTACATTTTGCATACTCGGATGCTCCTTTTATGAGGTATTTATGTACTGAATTATAAGTACACTTATTAGGGCCGTTGCAGTGGATGATGTGTCAATTAAAATAACACATTGTGGAGTGTGTTACGCGGATGTAATTTTGACAAAAAATCTTCATGGAAACTCCATATATCCTTTGGTGCCGGGGTATGTATCTATGTAATGAAATAAATGAAATGTATGTATAGCTTTGAAACTAGCCTTTTGGATCTGATAAAATTGTGTTTGTTGTGTTTAGCCATGAGATTGTGGGAATAGTGAAAGAGGTTGCTACGAATGTTGATCGTTTCAAAGTTGGGGCTCATGTTGGAGTGGGAACTTATGTCAACTCATGCCAAGATTGTGAGTATTGCAATGAAGGGATGGAAATTAACTGTGTGAAAGGAACAGTCTTTACGCTCAATAGAGTGGATACAGATGGTACAATCACAAAAGGAGGTTACTCTAGCTCGATTGTTGTTCATCAGAGGTGGGTAATTCATAAAAAAAAAAAGAATGCTATTACACAATGACTTCTAGTTCTAGCTAACTCTTTTCTTTTGGTTGATGATGACAGAGGACTTTATTTTAAGTCCTAAAACGATTTCTTAGTGTCTTTGTTTCTGCAGTAGTTGAGTGAATTCATTAGTGTCATTTTGATCAAGCAATTCGTAAATGTGCTGTTAAGATACTGCTGAATTTTCAGATATTGCTATCGGATTCCTGACAATCTTCCCTTGCACTTAGCAGCACCGTTGTTATGCGCTGGAGTTACTGTTTATTCTCCCATGGTTCGCCATAATGATGAACCAACCTGGTAAAAGTCTTGGGGTGGTTGGGCTAGGTGGTCTTGGACATATGGCTGTTAAGTTTGGTAAGGCTTTTGGACTGAAAGTTACGGTTTTTAGCACCAGTGTATCGAAGAAAGAGGAGGCCTTGAGCGGGCTTGGTGCACATAATTTTGTAATTTCATCTGATGAACAACAAATGAAGGTAACTATTGCTCAACTTTATAGTAGTAGCATAGTGCTGCCCCGTGCCGTTCTAGTCTAATTATGCTTCTTCTAGGCCTTTGCTAAATCATTGGACTTCATAGTTGATACTGCATCTGGAGATCACCAATTCGAGCCATATTTGTGGCTTCTTAAGACATTTGGTGCTTATGTTCTGGTAGGCTTCCCAAAAGAAGTGAAATTCAGTCCTGCAAGTCTTTCAGTAGGTTTGTCTATCAACTGTATTGGACTGCTGACTTACATTCAAGTTAGTTCCTACATATGCAGCATTCAGTAGGTTTATCCATCAATGTTACGATTTTCTGACAGGCATGAAGACTATCTCTGGTAGTTTAGCTGGTGGTACAAAAGTTACTCAAGAAATGTTAGAGTTCTGTGCTGCAGAGAAAGTATATCCAAATGTAGAAGTTGTTCCAATTGAATATGCAAATGAAGCTCTTGACAGGCTCATAAAGAGAGATGTGAAATATCGTTTTGTGATCGACATGGAGAATTCCCTCCAGTGATATCCTTTGAAGAAGATGGAAGCATACATTAGGCCAAACCTCGAAATACTGTGTAGGATTTACAGTTTACGCATCATAGAGCACCTTCCCAATTTATGCTCTTGTTTATATGAGACTGAAATTTAGTGTTAGATTTAGGTTTTGAGATTGAATTGAAACAAACAACTTGGCTTTGAGATTGAAAATAAGAGATGTACCATTTTCAGAATACTAGGAAAGTTTTTTGTTACAAAAGATTGTTACAGGAGACACTCTGACAGCACCTTTGTGAATAAGTCAGGAAGCTGAGATTGAGTGAGGGGAGATATGTAAGCTGACTCAAGCCTTCAAGCACTTTGTCTCTGGTAATGTGGCCATCGATCTCAATGTGCTTCTTACATTTAGCAATGTGAAGAGGCGATTGACTATCGCAATGAAAGGTTACTGGTATTAAATCTGAGATGCCAAGTTCTTTCATAAGGCAAACGATAACCACTTCGGAGGAACTTATACTCTGCTTGTTTATTTCCAACTAATTGGAACATTCCCAAGCAATAAATCATCGACGATTAGCAAGCAAACATTAACAGAGACAATGAAGAATTTACTGTGGAAACCTGAGTGTTGGAAGAAAACCCACCAATCCACTACAAGTTAAGAATTGAAGAAGAATGATAACGATTACAAGCTCTCCCACTCACTTTCTGTGTTTAACGCTTGATCAACTTGGTGTGCACATTTTAATCAATTTAATGCTCATACCGATCGTGTACGTTGAATTCAAATAAGCTTGATGTATATCTGTAGAAAAACAATTACAAATAATAGCAAAAATTTAAACTCTGTAGTATACAAAAGGATCAAATTCCAACTTCCAAGGGTGAAGACTGAAGAGTAAATGAACTTATTGCATAATGCATTCTGCACAGTACAAATAAGGCAGCAAATAACTAAGTATAAAACCTCTTTTTTTTTCTTTTTTTGACGAGAAGTATAAAACCTTTTATAAGAAGCTTATATGTATATAAATGGTCAAGAAATAAAAATAGTATACATATATATTTTACACACCACCCCGCCGAAAGCCAGCTTCATTAAATACCTCGACCAAACACAAGCATAAAACGGGAAAGGTTCTCTATGGTGTATAAGCTGTAAAGCCTACTCAGCTTAGTTTCAATGTTTGGCCTAGACCTCTATCTTCTCCAAAAGATATCACTTGAGGGAATTCTCAATGTCGATCACAAAACGATATTTCACGTCCCTCTGAACAAGCCTCTCAAGGGCTTCATTTGCATATTCAATCGGAACAACTTCTACCTTTGGGTATATTTTCTTTGCAGCACAGAACTCCAACATTTGTTGAGCAACTTTAGTACCACCAGTTATGCTACCAGAAAAAGTCTTCATACCTGTTAAAGAAATTCATAGAATACAGAATAAAATGATGGGTTATGCAAAATTAGCATCTTTTATTTGAATGGAATTCAGCAGTTCAGTTTATTTGGTACACAGACCTAGTGAAAGACTTGCAGGACTAAATTTTACTTCTTTCGGAAATCCCATCAGAACATAAACACCAAATGTCTTTAACAGCCACAAATATGGATCAAACTGGTGCTCTCCGGATGCAGAATCAATTATGAAGTCCAATGATCCAGCAAGGGCCTAGATTGAGCATTATGGTACTTAATTAGACTAGATACGACGTATAGTAAGACAGAATTATAGTACTTCTATAAGTTTTTGACAGTAGTTACCTTCATTTGATGTTCATCAGAAGAAATTACAAAGTTGTCTGCACCGAGTACATTTAAGGCCTCCTCTTTCTTTGATACGCTGGTGCTAAAAACTGTGACTTTCAGACCAAAAGCCTTCCCAAACAATACAGCCATATGTCCAAGACCACCTAGCCCAATCACCCCAAGACTTTTACCAGGTTGGTTCATATTATGGTGTATCATAGGAGAATAGACGGTTATTCCAGCACATAATAGCGGTGCTGCTAAATGTGAGGGGTAATTTTCAGGTATACGATAGCAGTACCTGAAAATAATTCAGCACGAAAAGATATTTGATTCAGATTCAGTGTCTAATCCTCTAAAACACATGCACTAAATTCACTTGACAAATACTGAATAATTTCTCCGGCCTCGTGATCAACTACTGCATAAACAAAGTAAAATGCAACCATTTTTGGACTGGGATAAAGTCATCTATCACCAGTTCACCACCCAACCGAAAAGAACAGAGTAAATTAGAGTAAAAACGACAAGGTTAAGTCCATATATATGAAACCCACCTTTCATGAACGACAACATAGCTCGAGTAACCTCCTTTTGTGACTGTACCATCTGCATCCACTCCATTAAACGTATAAACTGCTCCTTTCACACAATATACCTCCATCCCATCATTACAATACTCACAATCTCGACATGAGTTGACATAAGTTCCCACTCCAACATGATCCCCAACTTTGAAACGATCAACATTTGGCCCAACCTCTTTCACTACACCAACGATCTCATGCCTTAAAACAGCAAACACAGCTTCATCAGAACTCTCAAAGGTCAATCTCAGTGTTATACAATTCAGTAGTAAAAACTCCACTATAAATAAGCTACATACCCGGGCACCACAGGATACTTGGTGTCACCAGCAACGTTCTTTGCCCAAGACACATCCGCATAACACACTCCACAATGTGTAATCTTAACTGATACATCATCAGCTGCAACGGCCCTAATAAGAGTACTTAAAAGTCAGTACATAGAAACCTCATAAAAGGAGCATCCAAGTATGCAAAACACGTACAATACCCTTCATTCATACCTGCGATTAAATTCATAAGGCGATAGAACTCCTGATGGATCTCTAGCTGCCCATCCTAGGCAATTATGTGCTTTTTCCGAAGCCATACTCAGCTGATTCTGCTAATATACAATATCAAGTTTTATATTGTATGTAAGCTTTTTCGCAGCTTATGCATTAAGTTCGCCCCTTACTCAACAAGGAGTATTGAATTTACAGTGTTACACACATCGTTTTAAGAAGGTAAGAAAAAGAACCCTACTGACGTGGTACTAATATGTTATACCAAGTATTATGTATAAATAGTTAAATAAAGTAAAACACCAGCATGTACCTAATCAAATTATTATCTGTCATTTTGTTTTAATAAAATCTGAATCAGATGTTCAGTTTTTTTGTTACAAAATTTGGATTGCATTTCAAGTTAATTTGATTTTGCACTACTTGTACATATCACGTTAATTTTAGTATCATGAAAAATTGAATAGTTTAATTAGGAGTCATAAAATTTACAGACAATTAAGATTGAAAAGTTTGCTCAATTTTGTGTTTTAGGACTACAATTTTACTCTCACAAAAATTACTTAATTCTACCACTTGTTTTTCTCATCAAATTCCACCTAAAGTTATATGTCTATAAGTCTAACAATTGGAGACAAAGAGAGTATACATAAATGCTAAATTTTGGCCATTTAATATAAATTCCTAGGTACAAATAAAAGAATATCAACCTTAGTCTCTTTAAAATTTTAGACCACCCTTATTACAAAAAAAAAAAAAAAAAAAAAACCACTCCGTTTCTTTGAAGTTCTTTACACCGTTGTAGTCCATTCTTAGCGTGGTAACCGGAGTTGTGGTGTGAGTAATTACTACATCCTCCCTAAGGTGTTAAACTCATACCTTGTGAGTTTAAGGTATTGGTTTGAAAATTAAAGTAATTAATACTTCGTATTTGCATATAATGACCAAAGATAAAAACAATATTCTTATGAATAAAAAATAAAATAAAATAAAATAAAAAAGAATTAAAACGAACCTGAAATTTCGTGGGTTGGATACTATGAATAAAGTCGATAGAAAAGGTTGATAATACGAAGTATAAATTAATTAATTAATGAGTTTAGTTGATTATAATTTGATATTTATAGTAGTGTTGGCCTGTTGGGGTTGTAGAAAAAGAAGAGTCATAAGTGAGTGGGTCAAATTTGCCGGGTCAAATTTGCCGATTTACCGTGCTACAAGTCTACAACCGCTGATTCTGCTTTTGGACTTTTATTCGTACCACGTAAATTAGATGATGCGCTCAGCACCTACGAGTACAAAGAAATTAGCATAAACTTGTTGATCCCAATCCTATATAAATGATATAGAGGCGATTCAAGTTAAAGGTGGTAGGCAAAACCATAATTAGTTTAAGAGCCTTCCAATGACGGCTTTCGATTAATGATACTTCTTCCGTCTTTGAGTAATTGATATGTTTGACTTTTTTTACTATTTGTCTCGGGTGAAAACAATAGGTCCTTCGTCTGGACCTTTCTTGTGGGCTGAAGACTGGACTCGGCCCAAGTGAGGATTGGGACGAGGGTTTCATGCACAGCAAACACACGTAAACTGGCCTGGGAGTTGTATCGAGGAAGGCCCCTCCGATGCCGTAGTCAGTACAATGTTTAGAGAGAGAAAGCTACAAGAGTATTAATTGCTTGAGGCTTGAAGTGAATGTATTTAGAGAGATAATAGTGAAGGCTTTTATACCTTACCCAATAGATAAATGAGCCTTAAGTCATGTAGGCTTGCCATATTGACTGGACCTTTAACTGACTTGACACTTGTTTGGAAAGTTGATCCTTGCTTTGGGCTTTTGCAATTGAATCATTTGTGGACCGGCCCAATTAGAGTGAATTGGACCCAAACAACTTGTCCCCCAAACCCGGTTCGACAGTGTGACGAAGTGGGTTTTGAAATTTCTTCGGTTTTCTTTGCTTTTTCAAGTACCCCTCTTTTTTTTTCCGTTTTCTCGCACTACCACCGCTCGAAAATGGCCAGCGACCACGTAAAGAGGCATATGGAGGTTGAACCGGATATTGAGGAAGAGACGGAGGAGAGGCCGCAATTGATTCCGCGGCGGAACCGTCCTCTGGCAATGATGCCGCTTCTCAGCGGTCAGAACTGTAATGTCAGGGAGTTGCTGCTACCCCGAGCGGGGCCGCAATCAGGGCCGTGCCGATCTCCAGTTTTCCCCCCAGAGCTTCGGAAGGTGCTAGCACATTAGGCTGAAGCGCGGCTTCGGCATCTAGGCCATTGACTTCCGAGGAAAGGGAGTGGGCTAATGTGGATGAAAATAATGGCATCATGACGGCTCGACCTTATTCATGGTGGGTTGAAAATAACACCACATACCGCTTTGCCGAACAAATTGAAATCTTCTACGACATAATGGAGGAAGATGGGTACTGGTGTCGAATGCCTATTGCCGGGGATAGAATCCATCGCCCTCCACCTGGATATATTGGGGTTTATACTCGGCAGATGCAATATGGGCTTCGGTATCCTGCCCGGTACAACATCTCGTTGTCTCAGCTGACCCCTGTCAGTTATCCGAAGAATAATGACTTATCTTTGGGTGTGCCTATTTTACGGGCTCACGTCGAGTATGCACTGCTTCCACTGCATGCACAAGTTGATGCCGAATAAGCAATCCAACAAATGGCATGGCCCCGGTTGGTGGCAAATCGAATATGAGAAGGGGTTTTTTTCTACTTATCCGAATGATACCTTGGATAAGGATTGGAGAGGTCAATGTATCTGGGTTCGGGCGCCTTCAGACGAGGATCATCCACATTTTTTCGGTGGCCCCCGATACTTGAGGAAGCCTGACCCTAAGATGTTCAGCATCGGGTCTGATGAGTTCTCCGAGGCCGATTTGAAGCAGATGGAGCTCTTCGGCAGGAGCCACAGGCCTGGGGCTACAGGCCGAATGGCAAATGTGCCTACCCTCTGGCTGCCTTACTGCCACTATATCTTCTAGGTGAAGATACTTGCTGTCGTTGGCCTTAGTCGAAGGTACCAAGGAGGTAAGGAACTCGGCTTGGGCCAAAGACTTTATAATTTTTTGTTATTTCCTGCATTCTGATGCTTATTTATGTCGGCCAAGCTAACCGTTGTCTTTTTGGTTTTTCATAGCTGTACGAAGAGAACTCGGGCGTTGATTACGAAGTGCTCAGGATTAGTCAGGAGAGGAACCCGATTACCAACGCTCTTAAAATCACTGATTCCAAGGATCAGGCCTTTTCTTTGCACGAGAAGAGGCTTCAGATAGTCACAGCTGTTGAATATCAGGCGCAGAAACTCGGTTGAAGAGCAAGCCGCTGCGACTATCGCCGCTGAGGCCTCCAGAAGTGGAGTTGGGCCTTCTACTCCAGCTGCTGAGCTAAAAGCAGAAGGAGAAGAAGTCAAGGAGGAAGAAGAGGACTCCGAAGACGCTCGTCTGCTGAAGACTTTGGTGAGCCCTTAAACTTGTCTTAATCTGCTTCTTCTTCTTCTTCTTCTTTTTTTTTTACTCGAACTTATATGACTCTTTGCCCCCTTACCCCTTCTTCTACAATCTGACGAAGAAGAAGAGGACAAAAAGAAAGCATCCGAGTCTGTTCGGACGAATCATCTTCGGACGAAGAAATGTTGGGCCCGAAAAAAAGAGTAATTATAAGGTCGGGGCAGTTTCAAGCTGCCCCCATTCCTGCCAAGAGACCTCGGCTCGAAGAGGAAAGGCAAGAGGTGATCAAGGAAAAGACTCTTATCCCTCTTGAGGGTCCTACTGAGGGAGAAGCTCAACAAAACATTCCTCTTCCCGAGATTCATACCGAGGAAGAGGTTAAGCAGAAAACTCCTCCTCTTGAGCAATTGACTAAAACTCAAGAGGTTGAATCCTCAAGCTTGGCTCCTCCACCATCTCCTCGTCACATGGCCGAACCTTTTGCTGACAAGATTCAGCAAGAAGCTGATGCACTGCTAGTCCAACCCAAGGATGATGAACTGAAGATTCTGGACGGGGAGCCTAAGGATTCCAATGCTGGAGGCTCGGAGGATGACGAGGCTGAGAAGAAAGTTAAGGATGCGAAGAATTTCGACATGCCTTCGACTTCAGCAGACAACTCTTTCAAGACTTTTCAGTCTGTTGAGATGGGGTTTGAGTCAGCCCCTCTGCTGATTGTTCCTGATGCGGCCAGGAACGCTCTTCGGTCTCACCGAGGCTCAGCTGTTGAGTTCTTCGGTGACTTGTCTGGCCTATCCGATTTGGAGAAAGCGAAGATTTGGTCTCTTCGGGCTATAGCTGGGATATCTGAACCCTTCGCGAAGGTTCCAGATCCTTTTGCCGATAACCAAAAGCTTCTGATGCAGGTAAAATTCCTCGTAGTTAAGCTTTTTTACTTAGGTTTTTTTTTTTCTTTACTTCGGCTGATTAATTTGAACTCTGCAGGCCGTTCATAACCACTACCTGACTGTGGAGATGAACGAAGAGCTTAAGTTCAAGCTCGAGGATGCTGAACTTCGAGCTAACATTGCTGGGCTCAAGCATCAAGCTACCAAAGAAGAAGCTGCTGCACTTAAGGTAGAACGAGACAAGCTGCAGGAGAACGTGGACATTGTTCTCCATAAATTGGAGAAGGTCGTATTCTTTATCCTAGACGAGGGGTATGCCTTGGTTAAAAAGTACGGGGCTGAGGATATCCCTGGTCTAGAGTCTCGGATTGAAGAGGGGGTGCAGCCAAACTCGACACATGATGGCCGAGGAGTTCAAGTAGAAGGCTGCTGGTGCTGAAGTAGAGTTTAGCAAGAAGCAATATGAGCTTCAGGACGAGATTTAGCGGCTTCGGAATGAGCTCAAATGCCAAACAAGCATAATCCTCTAAGGCCCAAGAAGAGCTGAAGGGTGCTCAGGATCAGATGAAGATTCAAGGAGAAGAAGCTGCTAAGACTCAGGCTAATCTTGAGGCTGCCCAGAAACTGCTGGAAGTCAAGATTTACACCAAGGAGCAGTATGGCGAGGGCTTCGAGAACGACTTCAATGTAGCTCGGCTCCTGGCTTTCCATGTTGATCCCAACAACAACTAGGACTTGGTTGAAGCTTGGTCCTTGGATCCAAAGGACACTCATGCACATGAGGCCAATCCAACTGAGATTACCTTCCTGACTCGCCAAGCCGAAGCTGAGGCTCGAGAAAAGGAGGAGGCTGAGAGGAAATAGAAGGAGGAAGCTAAGAAGAAAGAATCTAAGAAGACTCTTGCTCAGCCCGCATCTTCTTCTATTGGCGCTCAAGCCTCCAAGAGTCCAAGTACAACTGCTCAGCCTGATCCTGCCGATGCTGAAGCATAGGAACTCGGGCAGTCGTCTACAAAATCTTGCTTATCAACTTGTTCTTAAATTTAAACTTTGTCGCATCTGTTTTTGCCTTGAATATTTTGCTTCAGCTTGCCTTGATGTACAAACTCTTTATTTGCTTTTGTTTTTTAGTAATTGTACTTAATTCGACAGTTGTAATTTTCTGCTTGTGGGCGGCTGCCGATTTAGAACATTTACTATGTTTGTTCTGAAACTTTGATGTAGCTCGGAGATCCGAGCTTACTTGATTTGATTTGAATGCATAACCTTTTTCTTTTCCATTCCCTTTCTCTTTTTACATAGTTTTCTTGCTTTTTCCTCAAATTTTGCAAAATTTTTCTAAGTGTCGAGCTTCGGCTTGGAACTATTTCGCCTTTTCTCGCTGAAGGAGTAAGGTTGAGCTAAGTGCTTCTCATCCCCCAGAAATCTGAAGTTGTAATCTTCAGGTTTCTAAGGTGCTTGCTTTGAATTTTTCACTGCGGACAAAGTTTCGCCTTAGCAAAATTTCTAAAAACAAAATTTTTGAAGTTTATGCTGTTTTCCTTTTTCTTTTTTTAAGAATCTATGAGTTTGTTGCTTAAAAGTCTTAGACTCCGAGAGCAATATTCTCTCTATCCTTAAAATTTATCCGAGGGAATGACTATCTAAAACAAAAGGCCATCATTTTGGCAATGCTTCGGATATAACTCCTCTGAAGCACAATGCCAATGTTAGGCTATGCTTCGGATTCGTCCACGGCCTCTTTGCCCCAAGGAACTGATTTA